TTCATCAATGATGCTGCCCAGATATGTAAAGGTTTTTACATCTTCCAAGTCTTCTCCGTCAATTGTGATTGGATTGGTGCATGCTATGTTGTATCGGAGAATCTTGCTTTTCCCTTTGTGTGTATTGAGACCTACTGCTGCTGAGGCTGCTGCTACACTGGTCGTCTTCTCCTGCATTTGTTGTTGCGTTTGGGATAGAAGGGCCAGATCGTCTGCGAAGTCTAGATCGTCCAACTGCATCTTAGATGTCCATTGTATCCCGCGCTTTCCTTCAGACGTTGACGTCTTCATGATCCAGTCGATCACCAGGAGAAAGAGAAAGGGTGAGAGTAAGCAACCTTGCCTAACACCGGTCTTCACTTTGAACGACTTTGTCAACTGTCCTCCATGCACGATTTTGCAGTGTAATCCATCATATGAGTTCTGTATGATATTGACTATCTTCTGAGGCACGCCGTAGTGTCGAAGAAGTTTCCATAGTGTTGTTCTGTCCACGCTATCAAATGCCTTTTCGTAGTCAATGAAGTTGATGTAGAGTGATGAATTCTATTCAATTGATTGTTCCACAATGATCCGTAGAGTTGCGATTTGGTCTGTACACGATCTATCCTTACGGAATCCTGCCTGTTGGTCACGAAGTTGGGCGTCTACGCAGTCCTTCATCCTGTTTAACAATACCCTGTTGAAGACTTTTCCCGGTATTGAGAGAAGAGTGATGCCCCTGTAGTTATCACACTTGCTGAGATAGCCTTTCTTCGGTATTTTGATCAGGAGTTCTTCTTTCCAGTCTTTTGGTACTTGTTCCTCATCCCAAATCTTATTGAAGAGAATGTGGAGTATCCTTGCAGTTGCCGCTACGTCTGCTTTTAGTGCCTCTGCTGGAATGTTGTCTGGTCCTGCTGTTTTGCCACTCTTGATTTGTCTGATGGCCATGCTGATTTCTTCAATTGTTGGTGGGCCAACATTGATTGGGAGGTCCGTGGGTGCTGCTTCGATGTTGGGTGGGTTCAGTGGAGCTGGTCGATTCAAGAGTTCTTTGAAGTGTTCTACCCACCTGTTTTGTTGCTCCTCAATGTTGGTGATTACCTCGCCTTCCTTGCTTTTCACTGGTCGTTCTGGTTTGCGGCGATTCCCAGAGAGTTTCTTTGTCGTGTCATAAAGTTGTCTCATGTTTCCTTCTCTTGCAGCCTTTTCCGCCGTCGTTGCTAAATCTTCCACATATTTACGTTTGTCGGTTCTGATGCTCCTCTTCACTTGTTTGTTTACTTCTGTGTATTCAGCTTGTGCCTTGGCTTTTTCTGCTCTTGTTCGGCTGGTATTGATTGCTGCTTTCTTGTTCCTCCTTTCTTGAATCTTATCCAGTGTATCAACAGTGATCCATTCCTTGTGATGGTGCTTCTTGTGGCCCAGGACCTCATGACATGTTGAAGTGATTGCCTCTTTGATCCCCTTCCAGTTGCTCTCCACAGTAGTTCCTTCTCCATTGAGTAGATCATGAAAGGCCTGGAACTTGTTGCTGAGGACTATCTTGAATTTGTTGAGTTTGTTAGTATCCTGAAGAAAGGCCGTATTGAACTTTTGTGATATTGTCCGCCCCATGGTCCAGTGCTTCTTGAGTTTCAATTTCATCTTGGCGACCAGCAAGTGATGATCTGATGCTATATCAGCTCCTCTCTTGGTTCTCACATCCTCTATCGTTCTCCTGAACGTTTTATTGATGCAAATATGGTCGGTTTGGTTTTGTGTAGAGTGATCCGGTGAAGTCCATGTGGTTTTGTGTATGCGTTTATATGGGAATATGGTGCCGCTTATGACCAGTTTATTGAAGGCACATAAGTTTGCAAATCTCTCACCATTTTCGTTCCTTTCTTCCAGTCCGTGTCGTCCCATGATGTCTTCATATCCAGTGTTGTCCGTTCCAACCTTGGCGTTGAAATCTCCCATCAGAATGGTCAGGTCCTTTGTTGGGCACTTCTCGATTATTGACCGCAGCCTATTGTAGAATTGATCTTTAGCTTCTTCATTGTAGTCGTTGGTAGGCGCATAGCATTGGGTGATGTTCATTGAAATGGCCTCTTTCTTTGTTTTGAAGGAGGTTTTGATGATCCTTGGTCCATGAGATTCCCATCCTATAAGCGCATTTTGCGCTTGTTTAGACAGCATCAATGCAACTCCTTGTGTATGTGGAGCATTTTCTTCTTCATGGCCGGAGTATAACAGGAGCTCTCCTGAAGTTAGTCGTTGTTGTCCAACTTGTGTCCAATGTGTTTCACTGATCCCAAGTACCTCTAGGTTGTATCTTCTCATTTCTGCAGCAATTTGGAAGACTGTCCCGGTGTCCTACATTGTACGAACATTCCATGTACCTTGTAGTGTTAGTCATTAGTTTTAGCCCATAATATATCTTATTCTAGTTTCCGGACATTCCATTCTATTCATTCTACTTGAGTCATGTTTTGACCTTGTTAATTATTCGCTTATTAGCCTTGACTGCTTTCACATGAGCGTATATGTGTGTGCACTTCATGTCCCATGACTCACCACATGTCTGTAGTTTATTTTGTCTGCCTATAAATATTGAGTAATGCCCGGCTTGAAATGGAGTTGGCTTCCCAGCCATCTTCCATGCGCGTCATTTTGCTCTGTTCTGTTACATTCACTTTACATACAAAATATATGTATTCAAAATCCCATTCTCGTTATTTGACTTATCTAAATTCCGTTATTGACTAACGTGATTTAAGTCGACGATGATATACGAGAATTGGCGATAACAAACATCCATACGCTCTAAATGGAGTCAGATCAACGGGCCACATAAACCTAAATAAATGGTCGCTCTGGTTGTCAGAAGGGGCATCGGCCTCGTAACTTCCGAAGGAATGCGGCTTTCATAGTTCTTCTAAATGAAGACCTTCTGACTCCCAGGACTGAGTTAAAAAGGTTTGAATAATTTTTTCTGGTTAGCGTTTTTTTAGCGAGTTAGTTTTCTACGGGATGGGGACGTTAACCCCATGCCCAACCCTCCTCCTTTATCCGGGCTTGGGACCGGCAGTAGCCCCCGTAGAGACTCCAGGCGGAGTTATACTCATAATATTGGTCCATAAATGGATCACAAAAATTACCATTCATTATTCTTATCGGGATACAACACCTCCCCTTTTTTGAAGATCCGGAGTTAGTATCCGGATTTAAAATTTCCGGGTTCATCCTCCCTCGCGAAATAATGTTAGGTCCTCATATACCCAAGTTGCAGTTTGACTCTATTTAAAGCATATTTCCCGCATTGAGTAGAGAGTTCACTAGAACTGACTAGATGATGAGGATCAGCGACACTAGATATGAGGTCATTTTCATTAGATCTCTTCAAAATTGCATTAGTGGATAATAGATCACTAGAATAAACAGCATCTATCAAAATTTCATTAGGTTCTTGATCACCGTTTGATGCATCCGACAAATTTTTCTCATTTTTGTAAATGTGATCAAAAGCATAGGAGTCATTAGGATAACTCATATTTGATAGAACTAGAGAACTCCAATAAATGCATTAATCAGAAACTTTTGTTGTGGGACGATGAGCTCCATTTGATGGAACTGTCTCGATTATGCTGCTTGATTCATCTTCTGTCTCTTCATGGGAGGGTACTGCAATAATTTCATGAGCATTTAATAAGACGTCGTCTGTCTGTGAGCTGGACAAGTCAGTGTTTGTGCATGGTGTTTCAGACTCAATGGGATTTGAGCCCACGACAGGGCATGTCTCTGAAATGGACATTTCTGGATCACTGGGCGGATCATGAATGACTGCTTCGCTTACATTGCTGCTCGTAAAGGATTCATAGAGGCTTTTATAGACACCTTCATATGTTCTGCAGTTATTTACCAGATCGGTATGCCGATGAGAAATTAACTTATCAACTTCGACCGCATCTCCCTCAAACCACACAAACCACTCCAGGCTTCATGACCAAAAAGGAATACGACTATACGTACCTAGTCTACTCAGTCACGATATTTTGAATCGCTCATACGAACGTGTTATTTTATTGTTCAGACAGTCATAGCATTAGTACATGTTAATTTTTTGTACGCTCATTAATCTGCTCATATTCGCATGCTAACGTTTCCATTTTTGTCCGCGCCTTTGCGATATTCATGTATTCTTTTACATAAGTATGACATTTTCATATAATACACTCATCCCTCATTTGACACTGTACGTTATCGAGTGTTGTACAATATTTTTTCGCTACTTATTGTTAACGTTAACTTCATATCACTTCAGTGTTATTTTCGAAAACACATTTTTTAAATGTGCTATTTTCTACAAGGGGGCTATGTAGTGTCAGTCATTATGTTAAGCCCATATACTTTATTCTAACTTTCGGACAGCCCAATCTACTTATTCTACTTGAGTCATATTTTGACCTTGTTAATTATTCGCTTATCAGTCTTGACTGTTTTTATATGAGCATATATGTGTGTACACTTCATATCCCATCCCCGTCGCTAATTGTTATGACTGTGACTGCAGATTAGACGGCAGCGAATTATCGATTGAACCAATGACGCATAAACACGTGCGGGCGACCTAGAGTCCTGGTTGAGTCCTGCTTCCCTGTCTAGCCCAGCCAGTTTAGTTCGGAACGTAAGTCTCAGCCTCTGAGATATGAATCATTATATTTCAAGCATACTGAGTTTATATACCATTTAAACCGACCACAACGCACCAATAAAATATGAAACAACATTTGTACAAGAATTAGCCGGATGTGACTGTGAATGAGGGAGGTAGCGATTAACAGACAGGGAATAATTCATGAATGGTAAATCGTATAATAATAGTTCATAGGTCGAAATAAATCTCATAATAAGAGGGAGATAAATATGAACAGTTTAGTTACATAACAATTATACGATAAAAATATACCCATAATATTGGTCCATAAATGGATCCCAACATTTGCCCTTCATTATTGTTATTGGGATAAAACTTTATAGGTATGACCTTAGAACTGAATTTGAAAACCTTTTTATCTGTTCATTTGATGACTACTATATGTAGAAGATCTAGGATTTGAACTATTCACTTTCTAGTATTATGGTATGTATGCGTGTGTAATACTATACGACGTTAATATCTTGACTTGTGGAATTTTGGTCAATGATAGAGTCATGAATTGGATGTTCCTGTGATTGAAATGACCGTTTATTTCTCTTCACCTCCTCCCACCTATTTTTTTCCAAATATGTGCTTATTTGTCCAAATATCTGAACTCTTCTAATCATGTGATATAACGGTATTCTATGAATACTATTTCAGTATTTATATTTTTTAAGTCATTGATCTACTGCTCACGATGAAATATGGATTCAATCCTTTGGTATTCTCATCACAACTAATACACCTGTTATCACACAATCAATCTATACTCTTTGCGTATTATGTTTGATTATGTAATCCATTCCAATGCTATCAGTGACTCATGAACTACCTTGCTTGGTTTGATAATTTCATATTTGCATATAAACATCACTGTATATCAGAAAAAAGCATTACTAGGATCCGAATGACAGCAATACATGAAGCGTCTGGGTACAAATTATGAAACCATTTTTCAGTGTTCGCTGTTTTTGCAGTTTCGAGGATTTCCGGACGAATTTCCGTTCGTTGAGTAAGTATTAAATGTAAAAGCAGAATATTCATTAGGAATTTCATTCCTAGCACTAAATTCCACATTATTGGCTTTTTTCATCTGACAAGTTAACATGCACAATAGTGGTCTGTTCACAAAAGATATATATAAACGTAAATACAACACGTTGCATATAGCTGAGGAGAACCAAACTAAATAAAATGGATTCATATTATTCTGCTCAAACCGCACTTCTTGATCTCTTCAAGATGATAAAGAGGACTATGTCCAATATGTGGACAGCCATAGGTGGTTGAAATGAAATACCCGGTGAAAATTATTCTGTAACATTGACCCACCAAATGTGCAGAAACATGTATTAGATGCGGTTGACATTAATGTACAACCCCATATCGCGTTACAAGAACATCGTTCTGATATACGAGTCAACTTATCGAGTGACTATTTGAGATGGTGCAATTTACTGCATTTCGCTATACGTTTAGTATCTAAATCTATGGATTTTTGGAGTTCCGTGAGCGATTGCACTATTCGTTGGCCCAAACCCGCAACAGTGGTGATGTATTCATTGTGAATCATCCAAATCTTCTCACTTCTAATATTATTTTACACTTTTATTCTAAAAAGTTGTCCTTTTTAAAGCCCGAAATATCGTGTTACGTTCGAGGTTAGGAAGAGTCTTCTTTCCATATCAAAATCCTCTTATATGGCCTCGCGTATACAGCCACTGCCATAGAAGTCCTACTCACTGCCTTCTCGCAGTGAGGGTTTTATTTACGAAATCGAGGTGACGAAAAGCGAATATCCGGCGCTTTCACTGGATTAATGGACACGGAGGAACTACCTAGGGGGTTTGGAAAACCCTGATTTCAGATCAGTGGTGCACATGGGCTCCAGGATCCTGAAGAACAAAATGGCATATAAACCTATTGTTGGTCACTGGCTGCCATGAGACTGCATCTTCTTACGTTGCTCCACTGTCTTATAGGTTGGACCTGTAGGTCAAAGGCTCAGGGTTTGGTCCCTCAAGAAGATCACCCACTTCGATCTGGGCACTCGGACACTATCACAGCCCACACACACAAACCAAATGTTGATTACTACAGGAAAAATTATTTTTGCTTCAACTCACATTCAGAAAAATCTCACTCACAATCGTGGAATAACATTCATTTTTATTTGTTTTATGCTGTCTTATTTATTCCCATTTATCGCAGCTCGCCTGCGGTGGAACCCCTATTCTATCTAAATGATCTTGACTCACTGACCGGTGGAAAGTTGAATATTACCGACGACTACGAATACGGAAACAGTCTTTCTGCAACTACGTATACCGGGAAGATTCAGTTAAACAATACCACGCGAATTTAAACTTCGCCCCATCGCACAAGGAAGTGGCTATCAGGACTCAGTAGCCAAGTGGATAGTGCGATGACGTTTGAAGCGAATGGCACTGGGTTCGAGTCCCGGAATGGACATCAACTCTGAGGTGAAGGTACATACAGGTGACGAGTTCCAAACAGGACGAAACGCGCATCCTGGATTCCTATGCTAGCCACTATCCATGTTTGTCTATAATGCTTGTGAATTAAGGCAATATCGAGGCAATCCACACGGCATGCACATAGGCCAATAAGAGACTGATCACTCTCAGTCTTAAACACCAATAGGAAGATTCAAATAAACAATACCAACTCAATAATTGTAGTGTTTCTTAACGTTAGGGCTGCCTTCGATTCGATGCACAGGACTGTTCTGTGGGACTGTCTATTGAAGAGGGGTGTTTCTGAGAAGTTTATTAACATCTTAGAAGCCCTATATACATACACCTCAGGCAGAGTAAGGACATACAATCACCTCTCTCCACTGTTCCATTCAAGCAGTGAGGTTGGCAAGGGTTTCCCAGTCTCACCATTCCTCATAAGTTTTGCCATCTGTATTTATTATGTATTCGAACACATAAACATTGGTAAAAAGGAGCACCGAGACATGCGCTACACAATAACAATGAGGTCCATGAAATATTCCTAATTAGATTTTTACTATTATTTCAGATACTATATTATCTCTGTTGATTTGTTCCCATATGGATGCCGAACATCTGTCAATAGTTGTATGAAATATCAGTACCTACTCTTGTCATGACAACCACTCTGTCTCTTATGACGAAGTATGACACTAACCAGAAATGAGTTATTCTAGGGATTGCAATTGAAATACAGAGCAAATGTTTCATAGAATTCCAATGACTAGTTACACTTACCAGTAGTACATGAAATATAAACTTCATAGTCAATAGTTATGGATTTCAAGTGAATTCTTCTTATCAAAATAAGCAACTGATTAAACAGTATATACTATTCAAGTCATTCTTCAAAATCTTCCCGTTAAACTGACAAATATATCGATTTTAAATCAGTACCATATTTATTATTTCTAATTTAAGTGAGCTAATCTATTTCTAGAAAAAACCTGGTAACTTGTGCTTTATTGGGTTTCAGTTTTATGTTGTTTATTTTCAGCCAAATATGTAGAAGTCATCACAATAAACCAACCATCAATTATTTCGGCGGTAATTCTACTTATTGATGGTTATGTAGGGCTCTTGTTTTGATAAATCAAAGTAATTACACAATTCTAACAAAAACGTGGTTACTATGGTTCAAATGTTATTGAAAATATACTGGGTAGAGTTTTTCGCATCTTTGTGTTCGTATATCGTGCTCAGGCGCTTGAGATGTTGATCTTTCTGGGTTTGTCACGCTAAAGATATGCGATGGTAGTTTAAGGTTTGAGCTGGATTAGCAGTATTTCTCTTATGTGGTTAATTGTAATATCTGATCAACTGGTTCTTCCATACAATACTCTTCTTGCATATATATATATATATATATATATATTCACTGAGGCTCTATGATAATCTGGAAATGGCAAAAGAGCGCTACAACCCACGAAGAAATGATCTAATGGTTGAGCCAACAAAAGTTTATGTCAGACCCATTCAAAGAAACAACTTCGGTTAATCTCATAATAAATAGGTTATAAGTATGGAGTTTGAATCCCTTGTAGAGTGATATTTTAGTGATCGTAGCGTCCGACTTCCAGCTACTCAACCGCAGGTTCAAAGTCCTCTTTAAATACTTTGTATAAACGACTGAGGATTATGGTTGGACATCGCGCTTACATGGTGGCTCACACCCAAGCACCTGGGGAATGAGTTGAGAAGTGGCAGTTAAGAACAGACGACAGTATAGATCTATGTTAAAATGACAATTTACTGAATTCAAACTTTTATTGGTCTTTACTGCAATGTTATTCTGTGATAGAGAAATAATCTTAAACTTTAACTAACCATTGTAAACAAAAGTCAAAATTCAATTGGTCAATATAATACTCAAAATCAATTGGTTCAGTGTCTCAATTAAAATGCTAACTAGATAATAAGCACCCGATTCTTCAACGTTTATTTTTGTTATTGTTACCATTGTGTTTTATAAACATAAGGATTGTATAATCAAATGTTTATCAAGAAGAAATCATCGTTCAGAATCTACTATGCAATTCTGAAAGCATTCGGATTAACACTTTGTATAATTTTCATATTACAAATATATTTCATGCGTACAACTGTCAAATATGTTACCCTACGAAATCGCACTGAAGAAGCAATTATTGTACGCAATATGGCACATATTAACTGCAAACACACATGTCGTACTATTTGTAAGAATATTGACAGTATTCCATCGAGTAATGTGAGTGCATTGAAACCAATTGGGAAAATGCCATTCAATGGTGAATTCAATGAAGAGATGAACCCAATCAACGACACATTTTATTCACATGATCTTGGTGGCGGTTGGATGTTTAAGGAGGAGACGACGAATTGCAACAATGTTCCACAATCCGGTGTAGCAATCATCATTGTTTGTAGAGATAGATGGAAACAACTGAATAATACATTGTCCGCTCTGATTCCAGTTCTCCAGAGACAACATTTGTGTTATAGGATATTTGTTATTGAACAACAGGGTACTGGTATTTTGAACAAAGCTCAGTTGATGAACATTGGTTTTATTGAAGCACGTAAACGTTTCGATTTCGACTGTGTTATATTTCATGATGCCGACTTAATACCATTGGATGATAGAATACCACATGGTTGTGATGAAGAGATGATGGAGAGTGTGGTTCATTTGAGTGTTGGAGTGAGTTCATGGAATTATGTTTTACCTTACCAATCATTGATCGGTGGTGTTTTGAAAATATCGACTTCACACTTTATACAAGTTAATGGTTATTCGAATAGTTATTGGGGTTGGGGTGGAGAGGACGATGATTTGGAGAGGCGACTGAAAGCATCGAAAATTATGTATAAACACATTGAAAAGTCAATAGGCAGATATCTGGCACAACCTCACACTAAACAGGTTCGAGCGAATAGACGTTTAGTACTTGATTCAGTAAGAAATGCTGCCAGTCGTATGTTCACTGATGGGTTGAATTCTGTAAAATATAAAGTTTCAGCCTATTCTGAGAAGCAACACTACACACATTTCTTAATTACATTAAAATAAGTTTTCTTAAAGACTCAATTGCCTGTTTTTCTTACCCTTAAATATTGTATAACCTAGTTCTTTACACTGTGAGACAAAACTATTTTTATATTGAATGATACTTTCATTTAAGTATAGAAGTAATCAAGAAAGAAAACACTGATGTAGTCTCAAGTTCAACATTGTTATATACACGGTCAAATCTGTATAATATTCACAAATGCACAGAAAATTACATCCATATGTAGATAACTTAGTATCATTGATGGATCGAATAAAAGAATTTCTATTCGCTATTCATCATAGCGATTTGTACATCATTTACTTCTGTTGTCTATGTGTTTAGTTTTCGGTATGTACTTTCAAACAATATTTCAATTAATTACTTAACCATCTTTTGAAACATTTAATTATATATCTATACCCTAGTTACTTAACAATTGTGCGATAAGAATATATGTAATGATAACTCATATATAATTGTCAGTAGTCACCATTCATTTATTCTTCGTTTGCATGTAACATATGTTCAGCATGATATGCAACATGTGATTTCTTATGATTCTGAATAGTTTCCATACATGTGACTTTTCTTTAATTACTAATCAGATGGGTGTACAAATGATTATATAAATGAGTGTATTTTCGACTAGAATTATCGTTGTGATTTTGGGGTGAATAAATCTTCACTTGTATCAGTGTTGTGTGTTGTTATTTGGTGTCGTAGAAATTGCATTGGTTCCTCATTTTCGCCGTATAAGTAATAGGCGATGCAGAAATAACGTATACCAATCTACACTTGATAAACAAGTTACATCAAGTCGTTTGCTTGCATATGACAGTGCGTTAGTATTTGCAGTGTAGGCATATTCAAGTAAATAAATAAATAACTTGTAGTCATTATCATTGCTTCTCTATGAATCCGATTGACAAGCTAAGAATAAATTAAGTATAGGACTTTTTCATCAATAAATTATGATCTTTTACTGTTCCACACTACTAATACAATGATGCGGGTATTAATACAATACTCTCATACTACTACAAATTTAATTGATCCAGTTACATGCAATGAATATTAATCTATTGCATCCTGAATAATAATAATAATAATAATAATAATAATAATAATAATAATAATAAGAAGAAGAAGAAGAAGAAGAAGAAGAAGAATAGCAATGACTATTATTATTGTCGTTATTATGAGGATTCTATATTGTTACTATTGTTTATTTGTTTCTAGTTATATCAGGTCATATGATTGACCTTAGAAATAACTTGAAAAAATCTTTATAATAGGAATTGCCAATTAGGATATTACTAGGTTTGTAGAAGCTATCACCGTCCGACAATTTAGTACATCTGAACAACAATTTCTTATGATCCCATGAGTCTGTAGTGACTCACATTTATCACGAGAACACGACTGGTTTAATAAAAACAATTATTTTTATAACCAACTGTACAAGTGCTTGTTTTAATGTGCTTTTGTTTAACTGTGCTAATTATAGCCATTCTGTGCTTCCATTACCTTCCATTATTGTTCCGCGGTTTTTGGTACTGTTCGCACGTACTCCTGTCTTCTGCTTCCACTTGTACCATTCCTTGGCACGATCTCGGTATTTGTTCAATACCACGAGATCGCCAACGAAATAAACCTGGTTACGTTCGATCTTCGCCTTCTGATTTACTTGGCACGTGTTTCTTGGTAGCGGTGTTCATAGTTAATCCCAACTCGACGCCACGCTACAAGTCTATCCTGTTTATCTTCAAACCAGTTCAGTTTTGATCTCTTACTATGGAAATTGAAACTAGTAATTCTTTTCTTACTGTTGCCAACTCCAGTATTTCATACCACTTTATGTTGTTTCTCATTGAATACGAGTATGTGTGTAATATATAAAATACGTTACACGACAATAATTTTATTCAGATCAGGTATGTTCTTTTAGTGTACACCGTTAATTAAAAAAAGTAATATCATTTTGGGAAAATATTTAAATCATAATTATGAGATGGTGGAGAAGATTTGTAGCTCAGATGGAAGATTTTGATGGAGTTTTGTTCTCTGAGCTGGATGGTTTGGTCGTGGAGTTTGTGCTGATGATGCCGTTCAGAATAACGCTGAAGGCTCCATGACCAAACCATCCAGCTCAGGGAACAAAACTCCATTTGAATCATAATTAATTAGTTTGGATAATAATTACTTTTTATTTCTCATTGTAATGAGAACAGACAGTAATAAGTGAAATATTACATGATAAATAAAATTTTAATGGTAGTTGTTGAGATCTTTACGAGAACTTATCCATCAGTCTTTCAGGAACCAGTAAGAGAATAAGAACATTTTTCCAATTAACATACGTCACAAAAGCTTAGAATATTGACGGGTTATGTGTCGAACTCTGTTAGGATGTTTACTTGCTCAATTGCCAAATTTAGTATACCTCCAGAAGTTTCTGGAGGTCGTCAGTTATCAATAATTTCATACAATTAGTTCCCTTCATGAATTTAAATAATCCCAGAACGAACATGGTTGCAGAATAATATGAATTCGTTATGTTTCGTGGTTTCTCATCAGCCGATTACAACCAAATATGTATTAAAATTTCACATTGATGTAAGATATAGTGTGAAACAATTGACATAAGTGAATGTGAAGAATTGGAATAACAAAGGTTACCAATAATAACTATATATATGTGTGTGCAAGAACAGGTCGGAGGTCACTCAGTGTTAGAATCAAGAAATGTGAGGGGCGGATGATGTAATAACTGAGTGAAGTTCAGAGACAGATAAGATGAGTTGTGTGATGATTTTAGAAGTAATGAAGGGTTTGCACAAGATTCCTAGAATTGAAAAGCTGGTAAGATGGGTTGCGTAATAAATAAACAAGATTTGATGAGTTCGCATAATTTAGGAGAATTGAGTGAGTGGAAATGTATGAGTGAAGGGTGGTGGTTTAAATGTACAGAAAATAAGAATTCGATAATGAAAGCGAAATATAACAAACTAAACATTAACAAAATAAAACTAACGACCAAAAATTGAATTACCAGGGTAGCACAAGGTTTATTACTGCATATTTTTGAATACATAGATCAGTTTTGAGCTTTTGTCGCAATCGCTTCAGCGAACGGAGGAGAAGCGGTATTTCTTTATCTGCTAATAATTTTAAAAACTTGAGGAATGTCAATGGTATGCCCCAGTGCTATTGCACTGAAATATCTACACTTTCACACAGTATTGAGTTAACACAACATCACTTAATAAATGGACCAAGAAATATTCACTATTCTGTTATGGATAACCTTACATACTCTACGAGTGTTCTGATAAAATTTATTTCAGTCGGCGGTTTTATATGAAAGAAAGTTATGAGATAATGACTTACACATATGTGTGAAGTTGTTTACTGTTTTCCAAAATATTTGGATCAATTTTATTCTTCTGTTTTTGCTCCAAATAAATCTGAATTTTCACAGATTGAACTCATGAGTCAGTTGAAGCTAGACCACCATTGAAAACCTGGAAGCACTGTACGGCCGTTTCGTCCTAGTATGGGACTCCTCAGCAGTGCGCATCCACGACCCCGCACCACCCGGGGCTCGAACACAGGACCTACTGAGGAGTCCCATACTAGGACGAAACGGCCGTCCAGTGCTTCCAGGTTTTCAATGGTGGTCTAGCTTCAACTGACTCATGAGTTCAATCTGTGAAAATTTCTAAAAATCTCCACAAAACACATTCTGATAAAATCTGAATTTGTTTACTATTGTTTCAATGTATAAATCAATATTATGTTTATTTATTCGTTTGAATATTGTGTTTCACGATTACATCGAACACGTTTTACTCAAAGGACACTCGACATAACGAGATATCAATGATAGACCAATAAAGCGGATGCTAATGATAGACTGGGAGAAGAATTCATACAAATTCTACAGTTAGTAACGTATTGAAGCGTATTATGAGTTATTGTGTGCGTGGAACAATAGGGCCTTCATATATCTTTTAAGTGTTTTTAGGTATGTTTGCAATTTTTCTTGAAAATATTAGTGAATAAATGTGCAAAATATTTGAAATATATTTTCTGTAAACCAGCGGGTAAAAAACATAATTGATAAGTCTAATATTGTAGTGAAGAAGAAAAAAGCAGGGAAAAACATGTGGGATAATCAGGTTTATTTAGCACCATGAAGATCTGAACTGGAATCAAATACCTTTACCATTCTCCACACTTTCACTATCTGTTCAACCTTTGATCTCATCCTTCACATTGATCAATCATTCACAAACCACTCAATTGTTAAGGAGAATGATTTCATGATCTGTAACACAGGTTATGTATGGATTATCAGAATGAATGAATAGAATAGAAATGTGTAGTTTGGATGCAAAATCTACTGGCGGTCGTCACAAACTCGAGTTTATGTATTCAGTCGTGGTATGTGATGAATCGACGTTCTGACAGGTTCATATTATTACTATTGTTCTAAGGCGAAGTTCCTTTAGCAGACAAGGTTTTGAGTATCCCACTCGAGGCACTTCTTTAGGTATTCGCGTTTCATTTTCCTACCTGCCATTGTTTTATTATCTCTAAATCTAACATAGAGGACACGCTCAATTCATCTGCCATAATTTGTGGATGGAAGATAAAGGATATAGAATTAAGATAACAAGCTAGTAAATTACGTGACATATGCAGACTATACCTGAATATTGATTGAATTGTGGTCATCATTCAGTGTACAAGTAATGTCAAAAACTGGACGAGTTTGTGATTCCCCACTAGTCTTCGGAAACTAAAATGACACGTTTTTGTTTAAGAAATCTACATATTTATGAATTTCAATTCTAGGAGGAAGCTGATTTAACAGTTTAGGCTTGATTAGGAGTTAGCACAAAATATCGTGATAATGTTAAACATCATAGCTCCGATGTTTATTCACTTCTAAATTTGGTATTAATTATATTTCCTTTAAGTCCATACTGAATGTTCAAAACATTGTGTGTTTAAAATATAAAACTTCGAGCTCAAACTTTCATGTTCCAGTATATGAGTAAAGACATACTGCAGCCAATAGTATGATTTCTTCAACACATAAAACGAGGGACATCTACTTGCACGAATGTGAATTTATATTATTGTTCAATAACAACAGGTCTGGTTGATATTCTAGAACGTTCTGTCGCGTTCTGGTCAGCTGGAATATATTTAGCCTTTTCAGAGACTCTGTAGGTCTCTTCGTGCTTCCTGGGAGACGTCTTATTGTGAATGAAATTAAGGAATAGTTGGAGGGAAGTCAAAGCTTGCCATCCATCACTCAACGAAGTTGCGTGCAGCCGTTACAACAGTGGTGCCTTTTGTGGGTGCTGCTTCCGGCCATCGTGTGAAACGGTCTACATATGTAAAGTGGCAAGACTATCTATTTATATCTAGTGAGGATCCTGCCAAATCCATACGAACACGGTCGAAACGAGCGTCGAGTGTTATGAAAGAACCAAACAGACAATTGTCATGTCTAATCGCTTTAGATTTCCGGCAGCCTACACAGAAGCGTGCCCACTTTCAGACGTTTTTGCTCACAACAGACCAAAAAATTGCCCTGTCATGGGCTTTGTGGTTTCACGAACACTATGATAAGAAAGCTTGTGGAACGTATTGAAGATGTTTCACTGATAATGTTTCAGC